TGTCAGGTCTCGTACAGACCATTGCATACGTCAATCTACCAACAACATTTTCGTATGGTACCTTTGACATATACTCTTGTTCAGCTTCATCTTTTGGCGACATAGTAGTACTTAACTTAAAATGGGGAGCAAGTGGAGTACTAACTGGCTTAGTATTTTCATCTATGCCAAAACGTTGTAGTACTCTCTTCAAATATTCCTTTTGAGATAAACAAAGTTTCTTTGAACGTCTATCTCTTATTATCTCCATGCCAAGAATTTTCTTTGTCTCACCCAGATCCTTCATCTCGAACTCCTTCTTCAGTTGAATCTTCAACTTATCAATTTCTTCCGAATTCTTGGAAGTTATCAACATTTTATCAACATATAGGAGAATATATACAAAGGAACCATCTTCAAGCTTGCGCAAATACACACAATGATCCTATTTGCTTCTCTTGTACCCTTGCCACAACATAAACTTGTCAAATCATTTGTACTATTGTCTAGAAGATTGTTTCAATCCGTACAACGATTTTTCAAGTTTGTACACCATATTTTCTTTTCCAGCAACTTTGAATCCTTCTGGCTGAGTCATGTAGATTTCCTCCTCCAAGTTTCCATGTAAAAACGCCATTTTTTACATCCATCTGAACTAGTTCCAAATCCAACTGTGCTACCAAAACCAACATAATTCTAATGGAGGAATGTTTTACAACTGGAGAAAAACCTTCATTGTAACCAATTCCATCCTTTTGAGCATATCCTTTGGCCACCAATCTTACTTTGTAGCGAACATATTCTTGGTTAGGAAATCCTTCTTTCTTTGTAAATACTTATTTGCACCCAATTGTTTTCATTCCCTTCGGGAAATTGGCCAATCTCCATGTATGATTCTGATGAAGGGATTGTATTTCATCATTCATGGCAATCATCCACTTATCTTCTTCTGAACTTTGGACTACGTCTTTATAAGTGGTAGGAACATTATCAGCTACAATTGAGGCAGCACAAGTAACCGTCTCTATAAGACGAACATGTTTTGTTATTGTCCTTTTTGGCCTGCTAGTTGCAATTAATTCAAGTTGTTGTTGAGGTTCCTGAGTTGGAATCTCCCTCTCTACTGGCTCTTCTCCAGAAGATAATCTTCATTTATTTCCTCCTTTGCTTCTTATGTAGGAAAGATAAATTTTTCTTCAAACTCCACCTGCTTAGAAGCACCCTCATTTTGTTTGGTATCTTTTGTTACCTTATTTACCATAGTAGATTCATCAAAGGTAACATCCCTGTTGAATATTATTTTCTTTGTCATAGGACACCATAAGCGATATCCTTTGACTCCAGAAGTAATTCCCATAAAAATAGCCTTCTTTGCCCTTGGATCCAATTTTGACTCTGTCACATGATAATATGCAGTTGAGCCAAACACGTGCAAAGAGTCATAATCTACAGCAGGCTTTCCATACCATTTTTCAAATGGTTTCTTGCCATCAATAGCAGCAGATGGTAAGCGATTAATGATGTGGCATGCATATATAACTGCCTCAGCCCAAAATTCTTTGCCCAAACCAGCATTGGACAATATACACCGTGCCTTCTCCAGCAAGGTTCGGTTCATACGTTCTGCCACTCCATTCTGTTATGGTGTATGTCTGACAGTGAAGTGTCGGACGAAGCCATCATTTTCACAGACCTTATTAAAATGATCATTTTTGTATTCACCTCCATTGTCTGTGCGAATACACTTGATCCTCCTACCTGTTTGATTCTCCACCATCATTTTCCATTTGAGAAAAATTCCAAACACTTTATCTTTGCTCTTCATTTTATACACCCACACTCTTCGGGAAAAATCATCAACAAAGGTTACAAAATAGTGCTTCCCACCCAATGAAGGTGTTTTGGAAGGACCCCAAATATCAGAGTACATAATCCAAAATGCCTTTAGTATTATGGATCGTTGTACCAAATTTAACCCTTGTCTGTTTCCCTTTAACACAATGCTCGCAAAACTCCAAGTTGCAAGCTTTTACTCCTTTTAACAATCCTTGATCTGATAGAGTTTTCAAGGATTTTCCTCCAGCATGTCCCAAGCGCATGTGCCATAGCATGGTTGTTTCTGCCTTTTTTCGTCACTAGATGTTACTGTCGCTGTTCCAATAACTGTACTACCGCGATAACGGTACATGTTATTGTTCTTCCGATTGGCCTTCATTATCACTAGTGCACCGGAGCATACTCTCATCACTCCATTTTCTGCAATGATTTTGAATCCTTTTGATTCTAGGGCTCCCATATAGATGAAATTTTTCTTCAAACCTGGTACATATCGAACATCTTTTAATGTTCTGGTCATTCCATCATGGTTCCTTAATCGGACACATATGTAGCTACAAGCCGAGTTCATCAACCATATGTTTGATAATGTTGATGACTCTATTGTAACTAGTGAGAAGTCTGAATCATCACCATCAGCTACATTTGAATCCATAATGGCCTTTCCATTGTTATGTTTTGCCTTATTCTTCAACTTCAGACAGTCTTTCTTCCAGTGCCCCTTTTCTCGACAAAAGGCACATTCATCTTTGCTGGGTCTAGATCTTGACTTGGATCTTCCTTTATTTGTCCTCGTTTGATTTTGAGGACGACCCCTCACAACCAGTGTCTCTCCTTCTCCGCCCTTCTATTTTTCTCCCTTTCTTTGTTCATAGTTGTACAAAGCCGAACAAACTTCTCTGAGAGAAATTTCGTCATTCCTATGGAGTAGAGTAGTTTTAAGGTGCTCGTACTCATCAGGAAGTGACCCCAACTACATCAAGGCCAAGTCACCATCATCAAAAGTTGCATCCATATTTTGCAAATCTATGACCAACTTATTGAAACTGGTGATATGTTCATTCATCATGGTACCAGGAACATAGGTGAAGCGAAACAGTTTCTTCTTCATGTACAATTTATTTTAACTGTTTTTCTTCAAAATTTTATCCTCCGGTGCTTTCCATAATTTACTTGCAGAAGTTTCCTTTGTGTATGGATATTTCTGCTCTCAAGCAAGGTAGGATCGAGTGGTACCGCAAGCAACACGGTTGATAATTCTCCAATCTTCTTCTCTAATAACATCTGATCTTTTTTCTTCAATGACAAGATCTAGCCCTTGTTAAAAAAGGACATCTAGAACCTCGCCTTGCCACATCCCAAAATGTCCTGACCCGTCAAAAATTTCTACCGCAAATTTCGCATTTGACACAATTCTTGTCATAAGTGAAGATGTCAATGATGACGTATTGTTGACACTTTATGTAGATTCTTCTTGTTTATTGTCTCCCATCTTTGACACAAATATTATTTAATAGCTGACGACACAAATCAAGATTATTTCCTTTCTGGTGTGGAAGATCAGACTAAGCTGCAACCACAGAGCATACTCAGACAAAACCTTGACTCAGTTACCAAGATAAATCTTTTCTGATGTGAAAGATCAGACTATGTTGCAACCACAGAGCATACTTAGACAGTATATTGGCTCTGATACCAATTGTTGCGGAAGCCAAATGTATATAGTGTGAATGAGTCACAACTACTATACCAAAAATTATGGCAACCACCAAATAATAAATAAGACAATAAAAAACACCAGAATTTACGAGATTCGGCCAATTTCGCCTACTTCCTCGAACACAACCAATATTTTATTCCACTTCAAAAATACAAGTGAAATAATACTAAAGAGAGAAGATACAAATGCCTTAAAAAGATAAGAAGGCAAATGAGAGGTGTGTTTAAATCCTAAACATTAGGCCTCCTTTTATAGGGTGAAATTCCCACCCAATTCACTCTCCAGCCGATGTGGGACAGTTTTGACACTCAACAAAGAGAACTAATAAAAATAAATTACAAAAATATAAAGCTAATTGACCATAGTTTCTTTCTCATATAAAATTAAGATTGTAGACGAAACTTTATTTGATCAATCAAAACTTCAGCCAAAATATAATGATGCATCAATTATCATTCCTCATGATATACTTAGATGTCCTTCAAATTTCAATTGCTGAAAAAATGCAAATTAAAAAATGACTTAACAACATCCTTATAAACAAAATAATCCAAACACAGTAATTACACATAACATTAATCAACCTGCAAAAGACAGTAAACTAAAATCAGTGAAACAAAAAAAAGGAGAAAGAAAACATCAGAAACTTATGATACACTAATTAAGCACAATGATAGTCTAATTTTCTGTAATTTAATCAGGGAAAGGCTTCAAAATTCAGAATTACAATATTTTCAAACTAAGATCAACGAAAAGTGGAAGAAATAAAATAACATAAATGGATAGTAATAATTTATTGTACAATTTTCAACCTTTTCAACAAAAAAGGTCTCACAAGAAAGACACGAAATTTATCTACAATCTATGTAGTAGGAAAGAAGAAAGAAAAACCTAGAAAATTAAGAAGGAAGAGGGGGGATCTTAGGAGGAGAAATAAATAGTATAGTAGTGAGGAAAGAAATAAATAGGGTCATTGTGTTAATAACAGTTGCAGCTGAAGAGGTGAGAGAAATAAAGGTGAAAAGAGGTGATTTTTGGTTTCTAAATTAAGTAACGGTTGGAATACCTAAAGAAGAAACTTTTATTTTTAAAAAAAATAGTACATAAATAGGGGAAAATAATAAAAGCCAAAAAAGAAGAAAATAGATAAATAGAATTCTTGGCCAAATAGAGGTGTCAACTCATCTTCTATTATTCATATTATATATATATAGAGAGAGAGTGAGAGATGGAAAAAGACTGGTTTACAAAATTAATATGCTATTAATAATGAACTTAAAACCGTGTGCCAGTTGTATGGGGATATGGGAAAACTTCGTCAAAACGAAATATATTAGAAAATACACTTGCGTATATAAGTCAACACCAATTCTGTTTAATTCGGTTTTCTTGGGCAGTTCACAATTTTAAAACACTGCTCCCTAGAAAGATTATCTCCCAAATGTAACAAATTAATTAACAGTTAAGTAATATGGTAAAGATTTTTTACACTATAAACTTATGTCCAAAATATAACAAAAGAAGCTATTATTAAGATTCTTTTCTTCATAATAACCTTTTGTCTTGTTTGGGTATTAGCTTTCTATAAAAGACATAAACCACTTCTCTCAAAAGTACATTACTTTTGCTAAAAACTGTGAGAGTGTAACTGAGAAAAAAAAATGGAAGAAATGGCTTCTTTATTGTATTACCAAGAGGTTGGTCATTAATTCCTTCATTTTCTTGCTTTCTCAATTTCTCTTATCATTTCTTTTGAGTACTACTCTTTATCATTTTTCATTTCAGAACACAAATTCTTCTGTTCTTCATTAGTCTCAGTTCAACTCTTTCCTTTCCTCCTTACATCATTATAACATTATGTCTTTTAGATTTCAGAAAATCTTTGTTTGGAATGATTTTGAAACAAAAACAATTACTCTGAAAAATGCCATGAACTTTTTTCAAAGGTGTTTGAATTACTGATTTTTCCAGAATACCTTGCCTTAGGGCTAAGCCCCTAAAGGTTCTGTTTTTGTAAAAATATTAAATATTTTGAAGGCTTTTGTCTAACTTGCGTTTTTGATCAAATGTTGCAGAACATTGATGAAATGAAGCAGAAGCTTATGTACACTAATCTTGAACTTGAAAATTTGAAGGTAGAGAAAAGTGAAGAAATGAGGAAGAACAAAGAATATGTGAAGCAATTAATGCAACTATTAAACATGGTTTGTCAAGAAAGAGATGAAGCAAAAGATCATCTTCAGAAACTACTCAACAACCTATCTCATGTTCAAGTTGATAATAGTCCTTATTTGAAGGCCAAAAAAGCAAACTCAAGCATTACTGAATCAAATAGCCTCTCTGAAACACACAATAATCGGTCACACAATTCATCCCTAGTCGACGCATTTAACGATGCAGTTTCTTCCCCTGAATTTTCCAACAACAACATGGCTGATTCAAATCCAGTAGCCTATGATTGCAACGTTCGATTCTCAGACAATTGTGTCCCAAAAGTTGATGAGGCCACATTGGTTATTGACAATCTTGTAAAGGGGAAAACTTTGCCACAGAAAGGGAAACTATTGAAGTCTGTTATTGAAGCAGGGCCACTTTTGCAAACACTTTTAGTTTCAGGACAACTTCCTCAATGGCGAAATCCGCCTCAACTTAAGTCATTTACTATTCCACCAGTTTCAATTAAAGGGTTTGAAGCTGAGATTGCAAATTTGAGCTATTCTGTTTCAAGATCATTGTGTTCTCAGATGTCATATGGTTCTCAACAGATGTTATCAACATCTATGTTAAACTTTGCTAATTCTGGTTTTGTTTCCTGTTTGGAAAATCAGAGAGTAATATCTGCTGGTGCAAATAAGGACAGTTTTGTACGCTTGGATAAGAGACAAAGATTGCTGCAGTGAAAGTTGGATTGCCAGGATTTTGAGTGGATATACTGATTTTGAACTATGTGCTAGATTAATGTGCCTAGAGGGGCTGGAAGGGAGGATTTCATTCAAACACTGTATATATATAAGGTCAAGTCATATATATATATATATATATATATATTAGAGGTTGAATCTCTTTAACTTTTTGGCTTCTGATCTTTGCTTTTTGAATTTTTTCGCAAATTGAGACTAGTTAGATTTTAAATTTTATAGAGATTTAGTTCTCTTAAAATCTCGAAATAAATGATATATTAAAGAAGTAAATGTAATGTAGGCAACTACTTAATACTAATTAAATAAAATAATGGTGTATGTATCGTGATATAGTAAGAGGTTAATTAAGATTATAAGCGCTCAGTACCTTGACGGAACGGTAAGCTAAAGTCTTTGAGCTAGAAAGTTGTACGTATAAATAATGGTGTTGGGGTTCTACCAAAATCAATGTATCTCTGTTCTCTTATTTAATGTCTCTGTATACTTTGACCCAAATAATTAACCGTTCTTTCCACTCACTCTTTCACTGCATGCGTCGTATTCATCCTCCTCTGGTAGCATGAAAATTAAACCAGATAAATAAAACCCTAGTTTTGCCTAGAATTAATTAGCAACCTCTGCACATGTTTTTACATGTTCTTGGTCTTGCCTTGCGCATGTCAATAAATACCATCCTCTCATCCCATTAATGGCTTTGCTATATATGCAGATATACAAGTTTATACTGGAAATCAAACATTGTATAAACACTGTAGAGTTAACGCCAAAAGTAATCCATCTTCAGGAACATCAACACAGATAAATCTATGTTTTTGTATTTCACAAATATCATAATCACTCATTAGTATAAACGACTTTAACCTTATATCTTCTTCCTTTACCACAAGACTTTTATAACTTTTTTGGAAAATCCGCGGCCGCTACTATTTGTGGAGTCTCTTCCCCTCCACTTTTCACCTTTAATTTATGCTAGGTGCTCTTTTAACACAATAGTAGAAGATAAACGTCCCCACAAGGTCTAGTCATACATAAGTCCATCTTTGACCACACCAAAATGTAAATAGCTTTCCTTTTCTTTTTTGCCGCCATACGCCTACTTGTGCACCAAACTCTCTCTAGCTAGTATCTATACCATCAATTTTCGATTGGACATTTCAGAAGGAGAAAAGTTCAGTGTCCTTCCATTAGCCAAATCAAAAGTGGCATTTCTCTAAAGTTTAATTAAATAGTTAATAAAATGGTTAAATCAAGTTAGTAGTATAAAATGCATGTATCTATTTTGTTTATTTTATTATTAGTTTAATGTATTATTTTCGTGAGCCAAAAATCTATCGGAAGTAATTTCTCTATCCCAAACAATGTAAGGATAAGGTCTGCGTATATTCCACCCTCCCGAGATCCCATTTGTGAAATCGTTGTTGTTGTTATACTGTTGTATTCTTTGGGTTTTCATGGTCCAAATAGTGACTATTTTCTGATGCGTGAAAGCCGGTTGGCTTTTTATCCTTTAGTCTCTCCGGTGATTAAGTGGACAGGTAAAATCGTTACTCGTTAGGATACTAAAAGCAATTTGTGGACCATTGCTTCGATGGGCTCAAAAAAGCACTAATATAAAAGTCATGCAGACAAGACTAGGATGTAGGGTTAGGTACTTAGCCATGTGTGAGTACTCCACTCATACTAGTCCATCCTTAATGATCTCTTTTAGGTTATGGTATATTTGTATACGTTCATGCATGTGCCTAGACTATTCTAGCTAGTTAAATTACACTAGCGCGTGGATGGATAGGGCGGGCGAAACGCAAAGTTTATGAATGTTTGAGCGGTTGAAAGAATTGGTCTCTTGAAACGTAAATGTTAAGCCAGTAATACTTTCAAATGCCATTTCTTCCCGTCTTCAAGACGATATAGCCATTTTGCTCTTGGTATATCTAGAGATGCAAATATATTCTTTAATATTAGTACATATATCTTTAATTCAAGGTGATGACGGCTCTACCTGAACTTTTAGAAGAATTAATCAAAATAGTTGATCACCTAATATCTTAAACTAAAAATAACCGGTAAATGTATAATATTTGTATAAATTATGTATAATATATATATGTATAATTGTGTATAATTAATGTATAATCTATATATATTAATTAAAAAGAATAAACATTGAATCTAATCTTGCTAGCTATTTCTATAACTATCCCAACTTTTTATCAAGATAAACGAGAGTAGTGTAGGCTAGGCATTAGGGATAAAAAGGCAAGAGGATATTTTGGTACTTTGCTACACATGTTCGTGCATGTGCGTAAAGCCAAATCTCTTTGTTTTCCTTTTCTTTCTTTTTTTGGGACTTCTAGATTTTTGTGAAAAGTTAAATTAGAACATCAAAATGGTTCGAAAACATCAATGAGAAACGAGTGTTGGTACATACTGCATGTATTTTGCTTCTTTGTTTTATTCGTTTGGTAAGCTTCAATACAAAGAGAAATTAACTTCCCCACCCACCAATGGTTGCTTCAAATACGTATTTTAGGGTCTTTCTTAGATAAAATTATTCATTTGGCATTACGACTGGTAATATATATAAAAAATCTAGTAAAAAAAATTATGAGGGAAAACTGCTATATACAATGGGAAAATTTTCTGAACAAAGCAACCGTGTTCGACCTTTTCTCAAGGAAATTGCATATTCACCTCATGTGTGGTTTTAGAGCCAACTATAGCTAGGCAAGTTGAGTTTTAATTTTCAATTGTCATGCCCTTAAAACTAGGAAGCATAAAGATTGTCAAAACTTGAAGAAGTAACTAAATAAAGACACGCTAACTTAAAACCGTAATTAAATAAGGATTTAAATTATATACAGAAACAAAATAAATTTTTTACAACGTTTATTATTGTAATTAATTACTCCCTTCATCCCAAATAGAGTGATGTAGTAAATTTGGGGAGTTAAACGAGTTGTTATTTGACTGCGATATTTTTATGTGCCTTTTAAATATTTTAAATTATTAATTCTTGTGATTTATAGTACTTTTATATAATTTTCAGATATGTACTAATTTTATATTGAAAAAACTTAAATATGATCAAAATTAAGAAATCTGACTCTCGAAATCTTTTTTTTTTTTTTTGGACGGATGGAGTAATTTATTTTGACGGTTTAAGGAGCTGATACACATTTAGTATACAAAATTTAAACTCCATTTCTAAATAATGTAATTGCTCTGATTTTTTTTGGACCACAAAATTTGTAATCTTGAAAAAAAAAACTCCCTCCGGTCCATAATAAGTGGTCATTTTATCTTTGGCGTACCCATTAAGGAAATATGAACTCCTAGAAAAAGAAATATATTTACTAAATTAAACTTAATTAATTATTACCTTGACACATTGAAATATATAAATAAAAGCAAATTCTGAAAAAATAAAATTAATTCCTTCTTGGTTATGTAAATGAACACTTGACAAAATAAAAAGATAAAATGGTCACTTATCGTGGATTGATAATACACTGACAAAGTACATAACCTAAACACATTATTAAATGGTGATCAACTTTTCCAGGAAACCTAGGCAGGTGAGTGAAAATAATACACCGTAATAAATAAATATATGATGCGTGTGTATGCGATTTAAATATCCAAGCACAGAACCATTAGATACATTGCATGGAGATAAACCAATAAAAAAGCCAAAGCAGCTTTTGTCCTTTAATGACATTACTAAATAATCACCTAAGTTTATGATGGGATAGATAAAATTTCTCTATCCTTTATTAAAGGTGTTAAGTTCGAATTTTTAGAAAAAATTCTGATAAAGAATGCTCCTTCTTTTAATGGGTTTTACGTCCTGTGAAACCAAATTTAATGGGGCCGCAATACGGATATTGAACGTACACCTGATGGAAGAAAAAAGGGACAAAGATTACTTTTAACTTGCGATCAAAATTATTTATATGTGGTAGCCTAAAAAATGTGTAAAATTTGTATATAACAAACAACTTCGTCTGCTTCTTAGCCAAAAGTGTAAAACCACGAGAACAAGAAAACAACACAGAAAATTTCTAAGTGTTAGAGAACCAACAGCTGGTCATGGTGCCACGTTTCATACACATCCATGCACCTAACAGTGTTAAAGATTGGATTAGGAGGATAATAAGACAAGATTAGGACGTAAAACAACGCAATCATAGAGAGAAATCTAACGGCTTAGACTTAAGATTGCATATGTTTGTTAATAATGACGGTGTTAATAGTATTGATTATTCCAATCTGGAATAAGTAATACAAATGTAACGTGATGATATGGAAAATATAATGAGTAGGGAAACTGCTTGTCGGGGATATAAAGAAAGAAATTTTCCTGCTTTTTCGTTTTGGGAGAATACCTCATCCATGTTCATTGTCTTTGTCAGAACCTGGTTTTATCCTTAATCTTGTTTATTTTAATTATAAGTTATTGTAATGTTTCCTTAGTTCATCAGATTCTATTTGTGATCAGACATAAAACTTTGTTTTTTGTCTTTTCTCCGTTTGTTCATCCGAATAATTAATGTTGTTTGCAGGTCGAGAATCAAGGTAGATGGTTAGTAGGTAGTCGATAGTATTAGTATTATTCTTGTATTTTTAGCATTACTTGTTGTTCCTTTCGCTTCGTTTTCTTAATATCTTGTTGTTATTACAGTACTGCTTTTCTTTTGGCCTTTTGTGAGTCGAGGGTTTATCGGAAACAACCTCTTTAGTCTCTACCTTCAAGATAGTGGGTAAGTCTACGCATCATTATCCTTCCCAACCCCACTTATGAAATTACACTGAATTTATTGTTATTATTGTTTCTCTCCTATTATTCTCACAATTAACTTGGTCAATTCTGTGATCATCTAGACATATATGCCACTCCTAAGGTATTCTGCAAAAATTTTGCTCACAAAATATTTAGGAAAAATGATATTTTATAGCTGCTATCAAAATAATAATAGAAAAATATATATTTTTTGTAATTTATATATTTTTATATGCTATACGAAAAATATATTAAGTTTATACACTTTTGGGACTACCGGATGTAAACCACGGGCTAAAAGTGATGTTTACCCAAATGTTTGGGTGAAATTAAAAAATAACCAGATTTAC